GCGACTCGCAAACACACATGTATAAAAAACATGAACCACCTACATCCGTGAGATAGCAGCGTCTCGAAGTGTGTCTGGATTCATTTAGCCATTTCCTTTCGCAAACGTGCGTTACTTTTTTCACCCCTTGCTTACAATGGCACGCACTCAGCGCAGGAAAGCTGCAAAAGGAAAACGTACAAAAAAAGGCGTAGGGGCAACAACCACGGCCATGACTACAGCGCCCAATAGTAAATGGTGCAGCTACGATCCCCCCGTCCCAAGCAGCGGGAAATCCACCTCCTTTTGTCACTCTACGGAGACGAGCTCGCCTCATCCTAGGCTTCCACAGCGGCGGTGGGATCTGCCTCGGCGTCTGCCGTTTTCCGTGCGTAATTCATCTTCAGCACCACACACCCTGGAGCAAATTCATTGACGGTGCGGTTTTGCAGTTCGTATCCTGGGTAGTACTCAGCTTCCACCCCAACGTTTTCCCCCCGCTGGTACAGCTTTCCGGCAGCACTGTCGGGGTCAAGGAACACAATCACTGAGAAACGTTGTGGAGAAAAAACGCCCAGCACGGTGCTTATTCGTTCCGCGTAGTTGCCAACAGGCGTATTCGTCTCATAGGAGGCAAAAGAGCAGTGTTCCTCTGGTGTGATATGAATCGTTTGGTATTCCGAACCACGGATGGCGTTCACGCTATACCCACAAGGCTCAAATTGCAAGTCGTGCACCTTCCATGAGCCATCTGCTACCTTGTCCAGCTTTGTCGCCTGACGGATAGCAGCCGTCTCCTGGCCTGTCGAGATAAACCGGTCGGAATACCAATGCGCCGTCTGCGCGGGATCTAGGCCGTACATTGTCATGCTTAACTGGCTGTCAGTCTCGGTCTCGCTTGGACGAATAATGTCATCATACACAAACAGAAAGTAATGATCACTGTCCACGGGACCAAATATAAAAGGTTTGCCCGATGGAAAGTAGGTCTTGAGGGAATTGAACTCCTCTGCCATGGAGAGGTGTGGCCCCTTCTGCTCCCACGGAAAGCTGTAGTTCTTGTGCATAAAGGAGACCCATTCCACCTCCCCACGCACATCACTCACCGCCCCCAAAACGTGCGGAACCGCATTAAGCAGAGTCGTTGTGCCGCACGTGATCAGAACTATGCGCTCCCGCGTAACAAACAGCGAGCTTTCCGTAAGTACATAAGAGCGAATGTACTCATTACTTTCCTTGGACACAATTTGAGCATTTAATGAGCCCACGACAACTGTCCACACCTCGTCTCCAAGGGCGTGAAGGCCGTCCACGTGGGTTTCGTCAAGAAAACGCATGATGACCTCCAGGCGTTTTTCCGGTCCCTCAAAGCTAGCCCCCCGCCTTGGGTCGTAGCTCCTCACGGAGCCCCACATGGCCATCAGTGAGAAGGGGTCCTTATTGCTCGGCATGATAATTGCAGAAACGCACAGATGAATTCGTTCACCCACGCGAAGCAGCCGGAGGCGCGCAATAAAATCCAACAAGAAGCCCCTGAAATATGCCTCGCCGAAGCAAAGCAACGAGAACACGAGTGTGGCCTACAGCACAGTGCGAGTGACACGGAGAGAAGGAACAAAACCGAGAAGGTGTAACACGAGGGAACAGATGCATACCACCCACGTCCCCATACACCAACAGGGAGTAGGGCAAAGTGGGTCAACGTTGGAGTAAACTACACCTCGTTTGCTCGTTGTTGTTTTTCTTTTCCTTTCCCGTCCTTAGCAAACACAGTTTGCTTCCCACATCACCAATTGCGATGCACAAACAGCTGTAATGAAAGGAAGCATACAAGGAAAATAAATCGACCCATTGGATTGACCTGTGTCTTTGGCACTTTCCCCACGTTTCCCTCAGCTTCAGAGGCTCTTGCCTCACGTTTTCACTTCTCCTTCTCTTCAGGAAGCTTTCTTTCCTTTTGCTTTTGTTCTTCTTCATTTTCATTTTCCCGCCGAGACCACTGTATTGGGGCACACGTGCCGCACGGAGCACGCACGTTGCAGGTGACCCAGGCACCGCCAAGCAGCTCCCTCCCCAGAAAACACACACGCACGGAAAAGAAAAAGAATATCATAATCTGTCTTTTTCTTTTAAAGGAAATTTACCTGCGGGGCTCATGTGCCTTTCGTAGCTCTCACCCTTCTCTCACCCCTCCCCCCGCGTCCTCTTCCCCCACTCAATCCTCTGCTCTGCGTCACGCATATATCTATAAATACGTGGGTGTGCAAAAAAAACCCAACGATGCAGCAGCGAGTGGTATGAAAAGAAACAAAAGCGTGGAAGCCAAATAAAAAGGAAATACACAGAAAGAGAGAGAAAAGAAAAAATGGGGTTAGGGTTAGGGTGGAAAAATGAGGGCAGGAGACTGCAATCATCCCCATAGAGAAATGGAGAGAAACGTGGCACTGGTGGAGCCAAGAATATATATGTATGCAATTTTGCACGCAAACACATACACGTGTCAGTAAACTCTTTTTCGCCGCGTCACACGTGTTGTGGAGCCAATTACATATTCACAACTTTTCATGCACACACACACGAGTGAGACAGAGAAAACATCATTTCTGTTGTCTTTGCTGCTGGTTGCTCGATGTTGCCTCCTTCCACGCGGAGCACCCCGCATTTTCTCCACACGCCCCTCCCCCACCCCACCCCACCCTCCGCACACACACACACACTTGCAGAGGCCCGCTCCTCCTACACTGCCCACCTGTACATCGATGGCCCCTCTTTTATTCCTCGCTTTGCTTCCGCCGGGCCTTCTGCCCCATGGGCGCCTCTCCACCTTTCACCATGCGCGTGCGTACTCCCACTGCTCCTAACCTATTTCCCCCTCAAGTCGCGGGAACATCAAATCCCTCGTTTTTAAAGAAAAAAAAATACTCGCTGGGATATATTATATAACGCCTTCGTTTCTTCTTCCTTTCTCTCTCCCTCTCTCTCTTGCCGCAACGCTGCTCCTTCCTTCTCTCCCTCTTTCCTACGTACACGGCAGCTGCGTTCCACTAAACACTCGCTTCTCACCTATGCTCCTCGGCTTCTGTGATGATCATTTCGGATTGTTGTGCGCATAATGGTTTTCGTTTCCGTGTTTCCTCCCGCCCGTTCCTCCTGGTGCGGCTCGGAGTAAAAACTATAAAAAAGATAATTTGCATGCGATCATAAAAATATCCCCCACCCCCACACACTGCTGAATTTGTACATCGCGTGAGTCCATTTAGGCGCCTTGCTCCACCTCCGTCCCTCCCCACACCCTCCTGCTCCGATGCCATCGATCCCTCCCTCACTCTCTGTACGTGTGCGTGTGCGTCCGCGTGCGCGGGGCAATGAGACCCCCACAGGGGGTGCAGGCAGCACACGCTCGCATGCGCACCGGTGCGCACGTAAGCAAAGGAGGGAGTGGGCGGGAAAGAGGAGAGAAAAGCGAAGACCGGGGACCCACGCGCTACGCCGCTTCTCGATTTGGTTTTCTTTTCTGACTTTCATGTGTACCTCATTCCATCTTCTTCGCGCAAAAGGTTTATCTCTCTTTTTTTTTTTTCGTGACGGCTCTTCTCTTCTTTCTTCGCCTTTTTTTTTTAATAAAATTGGATGCGATCTCGAACGATTACGACCCTTCTCTTTACTTGAGTCCCTCACGCACCAATCGGTCATCGTACACAACCATATATCGTCTTCTTCTCTCACCGTCCGTGCCGTCGGTGGGCACACACTCACCACCAAGGCAGCTCTGTCAAGGACAAATAATTACAACAACAGCAAGCTGAATGCCCCTTGCCTCGTCATCAGACACAAGTTGCTTATTTTTTTTGTTGGTTTCTTTTTTCTTCTACTCCCTCGTTCTCACTTTCAAGTTATTTCGTTATTCCTTACTGCTGAGGGTTTCGCTTGCATGTTGTTGGTGTTTTAGAGATGAAGCGCTCCAGTAGACCCTCGTCGTGGTTGAGTCACACAGCACACGGCAAGACGCACACACGCACACACGCACTCAGTGGACGGACCCCTTTCGCTGTTGCCAGGCGGCAGGCGGCATTATTCCCGACACTTCACAGCGGCTCGAGAGAAAAGCGGTGCATACCCGCTCCCACAACCCCCCACCCCACACCGTCTGCTTCGCCATCGCGGCAGCCGCGCAACGAAAAAGGGGCCCCACCCAGCAGCGGCAGAGAAGGGGATTGCGGAAGTGAATGCGGCCAAGAACGTCTCGATGCTTCTGTCGGAAAGGGCGTCAGCCGCCTCTGCCATGGGGGGGCAGAGGGAGGCACCACAAACACGCACCGCAAGCCTGGCAGCGTGCCTCGTCAAAAAAAAAAAACAGGCCCCCATGGCAATAACGCGACGGGAAAATCAGCTGCGGCGCAAACGAAAAAGGATTAGGCTCCCCAGCGCAACAGCATGAATTCCGATCAGTCAAAAACAACAACAAAAACAGGTGATGAAATGGTGAAACAAAAAAGAGCGGGAGGGGAATGGGGTAAACGCAAGGAATGATGGGAGCAAGCCACACCAAAGTGCAAGTGCCGCCAAATGGGTCCATCATCAGCAACATCATTCCACTGCTTCCACCCACCTTCCCAGCGCCGCTTTCCACCAAAGACCCGTAAAAAAAAAAACAGGGGAAAAAACTATAGTTTAATAGCGTCAAGGAGAGAAATTATATTGGGGTCTGTGAGTGTCATCCACCGGTTCCGTTTATATTTTTATTCGGAAAGTATTTGTGTGTGCGTGAAAAGTTCACTTACGTTGATTTCTTTGTGTGTGTGTGTGCGTGTATGCTCTGCCCGCTGCACCTCATTCACGCGAGGAGCGGCGCTTATCTGCCAGTTCGAGCTGCCGGCATGCCCAGAAGAAACGGACACGACGGTTGAGAAAAAAATGCCCCCCGTAGAGGTTTACTTCATATTACTCAGGTACTGTTTCTTCGGAGGGAGCACGCCGCGCGTGGCGGCAAAGGGGACTTTGCGGACACCACCCACCACCCGCCTCGTGCCCCCTCCTTTTTTTTTTATTGCGGCAGTTCTGCTGTGCGGCACCCCCGCGGGTCACACGCGTCAAACTCCCACACACCGGTAGAGAGAGCGAGAGAGACAAACGCAAAGGCCGCGTTACCGCAGTGGTAGCGGCGGTGCTTCGCTGTCTTGTCTCACGCGGTGTGACAGGCGGCGGATGCTGCACAGGAAGAAAAGAATAGCGGGGGAAGAAATCGGCTCAGCAGTTTTTTTTTTTTATTCTTGGCGTCAATGCGCAAACGTAAAGGGGGCAAAAAAAAATGAAAGGGGGGGGGGTCGCAGCAAAAGTGGTATTGAGTGCTTCAAAGAAGTCGACTCGGTGAACTGGCACAGGAAATGACAGAAGGAGGAGGATGTGATTCTCTTAAAAAACCTAAACAATCAAGCGAAACAAAATAAAAATAAAAAAAATGAAAACAAGCAACGACATGCAGAAACATAAAAGAGAAAAAAAAAGAAAGAGAAGGGGGAACTGTCTTCCACCCACTCACCCCTCGCTCTTCTTGCTTCCCTCGCCTGTGCTGTTATCTCGCCCACTCCCTCATTCAGCGCGGACGTAACTAGTCTGGTGGAACGCGTAGCCCTGCCCAAAGTGGTTCGTCGCGCGGTTCATAATGGTGTAGCCCTTCACCGCGTTGAAAAAGTTGTCCCGCTCGGCAGGAGGACTGCAGCGGTCCTGCAGCACAACCATCGTGACTCGGTCGGGGCAAAACTTCTCAAGAAGGCCCCGCACCAACTCGGCCTTTTTGGCGGTGGTCAGTACGGCGTTCGTCTCAAATGATGCAAAGGGGTGCGAAACGCCGTCTGTGGAGACTCGCAGTTTCTCGTAGTGAGTGGCACTCAGCGGAATCACTTGTCGCAAGTTCTTTAAAGCCCCACTGCCATCGTCGGACCCGTCAGTTTTGACGTTGTACATATATATATTGATCTGCTCATCTTCTTCGGGTGGGGCGCCGGCAACATTCCGTTGAATCGCATCATACACAAAGTAAAAGAAGTGATCACTATCAAGCGGGCCTGTCAGATACGGATGGCCAGACGGAAAGGCGGACTTCAACTCGGCGTACTCCTGTGCCATAATCTCACTCATTTCGCACAAAGAACTCCATGGGGAGGTGGTGTTCATGCGCATAAAGGAGGCCCACTCAACAACAATGGCGTGGTTGCGAAGCAGATCCAGCAGCGGTCCCAAAATCACGTGCAGCAGCACGGAGGACGACGATGTCACGAGAACCTGGTTCTCTGTTAACTGCAGCGTACTGTTGCTAAAGAAAAGGGAAATGAGGCCTTTGTCGACGGACTGGCGCTCCAGCAACTCCCCTGCATGTGACATGACAGACTCGAGGTCAGCCACCGCCACGCCGCTCGGCACAATGACGCCGCGGAAGTCTAACTCTAGTCGTTTTTCAATGCCGCAATCGTTGGCGCTGCGCGGCGCCTCAAAGCCTCCCCACATCGCCATTAAGGCTTGCACGGACTCCGGGACCTCCTCCCGCGCAGCTGGCCAGAGGCTCTCCACCATTTCCATCTGTTGCTTCTTCCGGAGTGAAGGACTCACACGGCGCAAACGCGGATTGGAAAAAAACGCAACACAGGCGGACAAAAAAAAAAAAAATTTAAACAAAATAAAAAGGACCTAGTTAAAAACGTTCTCCTTTTCCTCCCCTTTGCGTTGTAGTCGCGTACAAGGGTGTCCGTGCAAGCCACATGGGGAAGAGAAGAGGAAAGAGAAGAGGATGTATGTGTGTGTGTGTGGGAGGAGGGGGGGCTGGAAGGCATGCAAAGTCAGCGGAGCAATACAATTCGGCCCAGGGAGAAACCGCCCAAACAAGCATACAACTAACAAGATGAGGCACGCAAATTATATTCTCTGTTCCTCTCGCCCTATTGGTCCGATTACAGTACCAAACAGCATTCCGCTATTTATATATATATATATCTCTTTCTTTCGTGCATAATAAAAGGAAAGAAAATAATAAAGTAAGCGAATTATTATTATTATTATTATTATTATGCCCCCTGAGTTTTGGCCGAGTTAAAGTATTGCCTTCCTCCACTCCGTCCCCGCCCGCCTTAATCCTCAAGTTTGCACGCGGGCGTGTGTGTGTGTGTGTGTGTGTGCGGTGTCGGGCGTCCCCCTCATCGGCCTAAAGCATGGCCTTCATCTTCTCCAGGCCTTCTTGGAGTTGCCTCTCCTGACACGTGAGCGTCTCCAGCTTCTCTCTATTGGCAGCCCGCACCTCGGCAGGGACCTTCGTGTCATAGTTTGGAATCGACATCTTCTTCTTGAGGCCCTCAATCTGCTTTTGCAGCCCCCCAAGCTGCTTATCGAGCTTTGTCACCTCCTTCTGCACGTCAATGAAGCCAAGGAGCATCATGTTGACGCCCACCTCCTTGTTCACCACGGAAAACCCGCAGCCCTTTGGAACACTTGTCTCCGCCGTCTCAGGTGAAATGACAGAGACATTTCCCACCACACCGAGAGACGAGACCATGTACGCGTGGTCCATGAGCAACTGCCTCACCTCGGCGGTTTGGGCGGTAATCCACACATCAGGCCTGTGCTTGTTCGTAAGCGCGTAGGAGGCCTTGGTGGAACGAACATTGTGCACTGTATCCATCATGAGCTTCATCTGCTCCTCCACCGTGTCATTTCTCCACCCAGCCACAGTAGGATACGGGGCGAGCATGATACTCTCTACTCCAAAGCTATTGTAATTTGGCAGGTGATGCCAGAGCTCCTCTGTGAGGAAAGGCATCATAGGGTGCAGCAGTCGGAGCGCGGCTTCCACCACGTGCAGCAGCACATCCTGCACCAGCTGTTTTTTGCCGCCACCAGCCTGAATAGAAACCTTCGAAAGCTCAAGGAAAACATCGCACAGCTCGTACAACCAGAAGCGGTAGACCGCGTTGGTGGCGAGGGCAAAGTCATAGGAACCCTCTGAGAAGCCGCGGATGCACTCCTCCACAGCTACATCGAGGCGGGATAGAATCCAGCGGCACTCCAGTGGATAATTCTCCACATTGGAAACATCAATAACTGTCTGGCTCGGCTTGTACTCGCTTCCCAAAGCGTGATAGAGGACGTACCGCACCGCATTCCATAACTTGTTGCAGAATTGGCGGTAGGCGACGATGCGGTCAATGTCAAGGTTGACGCTCCTTCCTGATTGCGTGTAGGAAAGAAGGCCAAACCGGAGCGCATCGCTACCGCACTCAGGAATACCATTCGGGAAGGTTTCCTTCTGCAACTTTAGCGCTCGGGGAACTTCCTTATCCTCCAGGTTGCCGTTCGTCACCGTGGCGTGGAGTTCCTCAAGGGTGACGCCGTGGATAATAAAAAGTGGGTCAATCACATTTCCCTTCGACTTGCTCATCTTCTCACCATTCTTGTCCCGCACCATGGCATGCAGAAATACCTCGGAGAAGGGCAATTTCCCCGTGAACTGCAGCGATGTCATCACCATGCGTGCCACCCAAAAGAAGAGGATGTCGTGGCCGGTCTCCATCAAGTTTCCAGGGAAGAACCTGTGCATGTCGTCTGTGTCCCCTGGCCAGCCGAGTGTGGAGTAAGGCCACATGGCAGAGCTAAACCATGTGTCAAGCACATCCGGGTCTTGTTCCAGTACCAATTGCTCCAATTCGGCATCGGTCAGGTTAAACCTTGCACGTGCCTTGGACTTCGCCTCCTCAATGTTGCGAGCCACCACCCAGAGATCTTCGGGGTCGGATGCTTCCACGCCTAGGCACTTGTATGCGGGAATGCGGTGCCCCCACCACAGCTGACGAGAAACGCACCATGGCTTTATGTTCTCCAACCAGTGAAACCAAACCGCCTCGTGCGAGGCGGGGTACAAACGCAGTTCCTTGTTACGCACCGCCTCCACCGACTTACGCGCCATTTCCTTGCAGTCGACAAACCACTGTGGCATCAGCAGCGGCTCCACAATGTCGCCTGTACGACTGCAGCGACCAACACGGTACTCGTAGGGGACCACCTCGCGTAGAAGGCCCATCCGCTCAAGCGCCTTCACAATTTCGCGACGGCAGTCAAAGCGATGCATTCCTTTAAACGGGCCATCCATGGAAATTCGTCCATGTAGGTCCATCATGGTGAGTTGCGGCAAATTGTGTCGAATGCCCGCCTCAAAGTCATTTGGATCATGTGCGGGGGTAATTTTTACGGCGCCTGTGCCAAAGCTCACGTCAACCAAGACAGGGTCGAGGATCAGCGGAATGGTCTCATCGCGGAAAGGACACCTCAAGCGTTTCCCATGGTGCTTTTTATAGCGCTCATCGTCAGGGTGGACGGCAACCGCCGTATCGCCCAGAATGGTCTCTGGCCGAGTCGTGGCAATAACAATCTCATCATCACTGTCCTCAAACTTGTAGGCAACGTGCGTTAGCACACCCATGTCGACCTTCTTGTCATAGCCAGTAACGGCAAGTTTAGTATTCTTGGGCACATCCACAAACTCCACCTCCAAGTCAGAGATGGCGCTCTGTAGCGCACAGCACCAGTTCACAAGGCGGGTGGAGCGGTGCACCAGGCCATCCTCGTGCAGCCTCACGAAAGCCTCCACTACCGCCCCCGCACAGTGTTTATCCATCGTAAAATGCTCTCGCGACCAATCCAAACTGAGGCCAATTTGCCGCAGCTGCCGTGTAATCACACCGGCGTGGTTTTCTTTAAATTCCCACACACGTTTGAGAAACTCTTCTCGACCAAGGTCGTAACGCGTCTCACCGGTTTCACGCATAAGGCGTTTCTCCACAACCACTTGCGTGGCAATACCGGCGTGATCTGTCCCAGGAACATACAAGGTGTTGTCGCCCTTCATGCGGTGGAATCGAATAAGTGTGTCCTGCACAGACCCCGTTAAGGAGTGGCCAAGGTGCAAATACCCAGTGACATTGGGTGGAGGAGATACAATGACAAACGTCTTGCCATTGTGCTTGCGGCCCACATCGGATGCAGGGTGGAAGAAGCCGGACTTTTCCCACCACTCATACCATTCACTTTCCACATCTTTGGGACTGTAGGCCGCGGCCATCAGCGGGGGCAGCCGCTTCATCAGAGAAATTCGCCCACGAAACGTGCTGAGTAGCAAAAACAAAACTGAAATGCCAAATGCGCTAGATTCCTTCTGTGAAAAGCGAGCAACATGCACACGAGCAAACAT